AGTAACTGGAACTACAGGCGCGCGCTACCACGCCCGGCTAATTTTTGATTTATTGTAGAGATGAGGTCTCGCCAAGTTGCCCAGGCGGGTCTCGAACCTGCAGGCTCAGGCAATCCACTCACCTCGGCCTCTCAAAGCGCTGGGATTACAGGTTGAGTCACTGAGCCCAGCCTTAAAAAATTCTTTAGAGTTCTTTAAAAAAAATTTTAGTTAATGCATGTGGACATTAATTTTGTGAATGGTCTGAGGTAGGCATTGACCTAAGTTGTTTTTCCAATGAACAACTAATTGTCCAAACACTGTTTATTATCTTGCCCCATTGACTTGAAATGTCACCTTCCTCATACATGAAATTCTCATACACACATGGGACTGTTTCTGTATTCTGTCTTCTGTTCCATTGTCTTATACTTATCTCAATACAAAGCTAGCCAGTTACCAATGGCAGGAATTATGTAAACATAACATGTGAATAGATGGAAATAGAAACGTGAATCAATGTGAGAAAATGAACAAGAACCAGAGAGAGAATAAAATATTTGTATGGCGAGAGAGAATAAAATATTTGTATTCTTTTTATGGACTCAAATGTCAGGAAGCCAAACCTCTGAATTCAGCGCATTCACTGCATCCGTGGTTCTTTGTTTTACCTCTACTTACAGTCACTTGATGTTTTATATAAATTATAGGGGGGTTGATTCTTCACTTGCTAATTGAAATCACAGAGGAAGGAAAAGTACTGCCATGGATTATAGTCATGAGCAACAGAAAATATCATGTTACTTGGAGGTTGGTAAGCATTCAAAAGAGAACCGAGCAAATAAGTATTTGCGGTAAAATATTCACACTGAACAACATAACCTTTAGATTTAACCACTGTGCATAGTATGATTATACCCAACTTAAAATTGTATCTGTTTTCATAGGAAAGCTAACATTACATAAGTAGGAAAAGCTGTCAGGTGGACAAGTGTGGTTTAAAGTCAGCTGCCAATTAAATTTTTAAGACGAATTTAGTTGCCCTTGGTTGAAAAGACATGTTGATAGGGCATGGGGATTGTCAAGGGACTTGGGTCCAATGCGGTGTGGCCAAAGTTTCAGGGCTCAGTAAAGAACAGGCAATAACAAAACCCACTAATGACCTCTCACACAGAAATATCCTAATTTCTTAGGGAGTCAGAAAGTGAACATTGTGATTTACTGATCTCCTTTCAACTCACCAATTTATAATTAGTTGTCTTCTGTTTAAAAGCAGACTGTTTTTCCTAGGAACGCCATCACTGGGCAAGTTCTCAGAAGCAGCCTCACGAAGCCCAATTAAAAAATGTATGTTGCAGTCATTTCTTCCCTTTCTTACTTAGGTTGACGGCTGGAAAAAGGCCATTACATCTTCATAATGAGATGTACCGCTGCCAGCGAACGAACGAAAGATGTATTTTCTAAAGCCACGGAGCACTAGTATTTTAGTACTCTCGTTGCTCCTACCGAACTGGCGTTTTTAAATGCTCACAGTCTGCCAGCATCGTCAATCTAACCACCACTGGTTTAAAATAAACTTTTCTGTCCACTTGCAAGTGTCGCTTTGGATGAAAAAAGAAGAAGAAGAGAAAAAGAGCGCTAAGCCTTTCATGCCTCAGACGCGTCCCTAAGAACCGCCCGAAGCGTGGCTGG